AAAACTCAGGCACCTCCCCCCACTCCAAATTTCTCTTCCTGACAGACACAAACCTTCACTGATGCATACACTCACTTACAGATACAGTCATTGTCACACACACTTTCAATGAAACATACACATTCACAGTTACATACTCACATTCACCGACCGACACAGATATACACTCACTGACAAGATACACATGCATACTCACTGACAGACGCACACACACAGTCACTGAGAGACATGTATACACTCCAGGTCAGACACACACTGATAGACACACACTCAGTGACAGACACGCATACACACTCACGCATATATATACGCTCACTAACAGACACACACACAATCTCACTAACAGACTCAGCAGGTGCAACGTTCTTAGGAACGTCCAGTTAGACGTTATCCTTAGTCTTAGATGTGATACTATTCTGCGTGCTGGATCAATTATAATCCTGACATTACTACATGGCCATAGATACTGCAGATTTGTGTCAGCACATAGCAGCTTGCGAAAGAAAGCTAGAGGGAAATGATTCTCATATGGATCAATTTGCCCAGGCTTTCAATACGCTCCTAATACATGCAGCTAATTTGCAGCCTGAAGCTCCTCTGGCAGTTACACCCCCACCTACTGTACCTACCCCTATAGTGGTAAAAGGACCAAGAACAACGCTTCCATTGCCCTAATGTATATCAAACAAGGGAACCGTTCTGTCTCAGATTATGCCATAGAATTCCGCCACTTGGCCTCTGAGGTAGACTGAACTAATAACGGATTAATCACTGCATTTTCAGAGGGTTATCCATAGCTATCCTTGACGAAATTGCAGCCAAAGAACTACCAGGGAGGTTAAATGAATACATCACTTATGTGATGGGTATCGATAACCGACTTCGGAACAGGGAGATAACTAGAAATGGACCCAGACATATGAATATGTCTCTGGCACCTTGCTTCTCCAATCCTGTTGCCCCTGGCCCTTCTGTACAGTCTGAACCTGAACCTATGCAGTTCGGGGTTATGAGACTCAGAGGCAGAGAAAAAGTTTAGGAGAAAAGAGGGCCTCTGCTTATACTGTGGCAAGAAAGGACACATAAGAAATGCTTGTCCCATACGTCTGGAAAACCTACGCACCTAAGAACCATTAGGGGACCTGCCTTAGGTGTGATGTATATGTCCCCTGGTACTACCTAAAGACGATTTCTCCTTAGTGTTGCTGCGCAATGGAATAAGATACGTTTTATGTGTAACACCCTGATTGACTCAGGCGCTACAGAAAACTTTATCGAAATGCAATTTGCCAGTAAACACCTTATACCCACCAAGAATAGATCTTCACCCTGACTGTCGAGGCCATTGATGGGAGAACTCTCTCTCAGCCTCTTATTACCCACAAAATACTGCCTATAACTGTCACGATAGGAGTGTTACACAATGAAATCATCACATTTCAGATCATTGTGTCCCATTATACTTGGATTTCCATGGCTTGTTAAGCATAACCCCCATGTTGATTGGGCTAAATGGGAAATACTGGAATGGGGTAAAGAATGTAAAGAGAGATGTATGTTACCTATTACTAAAAGAGTGGGTATTGTTAATCTACCTACTCCTACGCCTCAGTCTACCAAAATTCCTGTGCATTATACGAAGTGTTTAATAAAAGTCACACTGATACGCCACCTCACAGATCCTATGATTGTTCCATAGATCTGTTACCCAGCACTATACTCCTTTAAGGGGGAGTTTATACCTTATCACCAAGATCACCATCAAAAATGCTTATTCCATTCCCCTTATCTCAGAATTGTTTGACAGACTCCAGGGCACTAAGGTGTTTACCAAACTCAACCTTAGGAGTGCGTATAATTTGGTAAGGATGAAGGAGGGACATGAATGGAGAACTGCATTTAACATAAGAAATGGTCACTATGAGTATCTTGTCATGCCCTTCGGCTTATGTAATGCTCCAGCCATTTTTTAGGATCTCATTAATGATGTTCTCAGAGACTACATTTATACTTTCGTATTGGTATATCTGGATGATATACTCATTTATTCCCCCAAACTCTAGACACATCATGGGCATGTTAAACAAGTTTTACAAACTTTGCTCAAAAACGGGTTATATTGTTAACCTGAAAAATGCCTATTTGACCAGACGGAAGTACGGTTCTTGGGCTATAATATTTCGGCCTCTGGTTTTCGAATGGACCCCGATAAACTAGAAGCTGTTCTACACTGGCCATTACCCAATGGGTTAAAAGCCAATCAAAGGTTTATTGGGTTTGCGAATTATTATAGGAGATTCATAAAAGGTTTCTCTACTGTAATAGCACCCATCACCAATATGAGGCGAAAAGGGGTTGACTGTAATATATGGTCTAAAGAAGCTTTTGAGCTACTTAAGAAATTATTCGCTTCTGCTGACATATTAGTATACCCTGACACTAGCAAACCCTTCATACTAGAGGTTGGTGCCTCTGAGACAGGGGTCTGGGCTGTCCTTTCTCAGAGGGAGAGTCAGGATACCCCTTTGCATTCTTGTGGGTTCTTTTCTAGAAAGTTGTCGGAATGCAACTATGATATTGGTAACAGGGAACTCATAGCCATTATCCTAGCTCTGAAAGAATGGCGACATCTTTTGGAAGGTTCCAAGGACCCTCTCCTGATCAAAACTGATCACAAAAACTTGGCATACATTGGAGATGCTAAAAGGCTATCTTCTAGACAAGCTAGATGGTCATTATTCTTGTCACGCTTTAACGTTATCATCACATACAGGCCTGGTCCTATGAACGTTAAGGCAGTCACCCTATCTAGGCAATTTGACCTAGGGGTGGAACAAGAACGAGAAACCTCTCTCCCATCATCCCACCTGAATGTATCATTGCCTCTACAGTCAGGGCCAGATTAAGAGCCCAGTGGGCCTGGTGCTGACAATTATGAGGGGGCTAAGTATGTTGTAGAATTATTAGGCCTCTATGAATCTGTAAGGCCCCTTTAAATCCTCTTGCTATACCTCTAAGAGGCCCCCATAGTTTTACAAGAAAGCTTTGTCTATAGAACATAGAATTTGCATGTCAGCAAGAAATAGCTTTGATAAAATGTGTATTTACTAAAAGCCTTGAAACTTAACCTTGAGAAACTAACAAGTGCCAGCTACGCTCTAAATGGATAGCTGCCAAAAGGCCCCTCCCGTCGAGTGAACTCCTCATGTTAGCAAAATGGCGCTAAAACCTGTAGGAGTTAAGAAATTACGTAGATAGTGACCTAAGAATGGGGAGGGCATTTTACTAACATCTTAGCACCTAAGCCAATTAACAATGTCTATTTGTCTATATCTTGATTTTCTTCAATGATGTAATAATGCCTTTATAAGGGTCTGCGCACCCATTTTCTGTCAGAAGCCATTAAACTTCTCTGAAGTTCTTTCATTACCCTGAACCTTGTGTCTCAGTGTGAATTTACTTCTGCGTGCACGCAACTTTATTATCTTTAATTTGGACAGGAACAGATAGTCATTCAAACTAATTGGTTTGCAGCAAATTATATACGACAAATTGGCGCTTCCAACGTGGGGCTCTGGGCTATGTCCTGTCTGGGCAGCTGTCCAGGAAGACGCTGGGGGGGCTGAATCCTGGGGGAAGGAAAAGAGCCTGATCACCTCTGAATACACGGTAGAGATTGCTGCAGCACCTAGCCGGTATGTTCCTACCCCTGTGATTGACCTATCCCAGTGTCTGTGACTGCTGCCGAGAGGACATCAAAGTCAGGTAATAACTTGCCCAGAGTCTTTGTATTGTTAATGATACCTAGTTTACCTGCATGTTGACTATCTGTTGCCTGGGTGTGTTTGTATTGGTATGTGTTTAACTTAGTACCCGGGGAGTGTAAGTGCCTGTTTAACTCCTTTTAGGTACCACGTGGCTGTGGTAGTAAGGAAAAAGGGGGGTGGACCTGTGGAAGTTTTCCTGGGGGTCCTCTATTGCCTGTTTAACTCTTTTAGGAGCCACGTGGCTGTGGCTGTAAGGAAAAAGAGTAGGGGGAATCTGTGGAGGATGATGTAGACTCATTGCTTCCTGGGGGTTCCCCAGAGTGTCATTTTGACCGCTTAGCTTCTTGGTAAAATTCCAGCCTCGAGCGCTGAGGCAGGTAAGATTCCAATTCTTTAGGCTATACAGGATTCGGGTTGGAAGCTGTTGCTGTTTCCTGTGGCTGCTGGTAGTGAGACTTGCGGGTGGGTCCGCAACAGGGACACTACGAGGTTGAGGGAGGTGGCTTTTGGCCACACGAGTAAAGGCAAGGGATAAAACTGTTGAACTTATTTGAACTGTGATGCATGCACTGTATTTACACTGAAATGTTATTGTCTTAATTGTCTGTCACACAGATTCCTGTGTTTACTTCTATCTTACTCACTGTACTATTTACACTTTCCCCTCCTATTTCTCTTTCTCTGTTGAGAGAAGTGATTGGTCACACACTTCTCGCCACGCTCCAATCCGCGGCTACCACGGGTAGGCGGAATCAGTGACTAGTCTACGTTTTGGGAAGACGTACTTAAAGAGCTTGCTCTTAAAGTAGCAGTCGAGCACGGTAGACGTTCTGTTCCTTTCTCTCTCTATATCTGGGACGCCTTATATAGGGAGGATGGGACAGAAGTTAGATAAACCCAGTAAGGGTTGGTTAGCATGTGATCTAGTGGAAGACAGAGAAGGAGAAGAGATGGTTAAGAAAGTGAGTAAGATTGCTAAAGTATGTGGAATTACCGTACCTCTGTGCGGCAGATTGTAGCCAGAGAGCTGGCGTAAGTTACTGACAGAGAAGAAAGGGAAGCTGTCGGACCAAGATTTGGTTTGTACAGCAGAAGCCTGGTACCGAGTAGCAAGAGCTATTCAGCAAAAGGGATAGGTTGAGGAAGATATTGATCACAAAGGTTTAAGATTGTTTGTGTATTATAATAATTGTGTTACTGGATGCTGATGGATCCCTATTCTCCCCCCCCCATCAGTCCTACAGATCTCGTCACCCTCATCCTCTCTCTGCAGCTCCCTGCACCTCCAGTCCGTTTCTCCCGTCAAAGATTTCTGGTTTCCAAACGTATAAGTCTCTGTCCTTCTGTCTTGTTACTTTCCAGCACTCACATGGTTAATCTTCATGCCTGCAGCTTCACTCCCTTTTTTGCACTGTCTAACTTTCTCCCCCCCCTCTCCTCCCCGCTTGCCTGCATTTCTACTGATAAGAGTATAAGGTACTGAGGATTGTGGGAGTGACGAGCTCACAAGATTGCATTCAGTGTTGAATACGGGATTTAGGAAGGTGTAGAGGGAATATGCGATGTTAAGTCAGTATAAGAGGAGGAAAGTGATTAATGGTTTGAGGAAGATAAGGGAAATTGGTTGAATTCCGTGAGTTTATTTTGCATCATTTTATTATTTTAAAGTTATTTTAAAGTACATGTTTCTAGAAACAGCTGTATGGGCTGTTAAATGCATAATGTTTTCAACTGTCTTATTTAACCTGCCAGGTCTGTTCATAGTTTAGTATTTCATTTTGCAGAACGGAATGTTGCTTCTCTGACTTATTTTAATAGTTTTAATATAGTGTATTGTTGAAAGTGCGTCAGTCACCACCCTAAAGATGGCGCCTAGTACAGAAGGAGGTTGACCCTGCCAGTCCCGTGACCTATCTACAGTCACGGTTGCTTCTAAAGTGACGTCACTTCCGCCCTTACCATGCCCACACCTCCTGTCTTCCTTTCCCACACATATCATGGACGTCACCCCTCTCACTTCCTCCCTTGCTGTCATTTCCTTCCCCGCCCCTGTCATGGCTGCCTCCATCATGAGGCCTACCCCTATTATGCTCGTCCCATTTAGAGACATGTTGTTTTCCTTACACTCTACATATTATGAACTGAAACATTATAATTACTAAAACAATCATGCCATTTGTTTCCCTGTATCAGCAATTTGTCCGTGATATAAAAAAAAAGAAGGTTGCTAAAATGTAATTTGCAAATGTGGTGTGACCTACAAATGAGATCTGTTGGACACGAATATAAGAGCATAACAGCTGATTATCCAGCTTAATCTTGCAACAAGGGAAATAGCTAAATAATGCAAGTTATTTTAAACATTGTATCTTTACTTAATCGAATCTTGCTAGTTACAGATCGTATGTTTACAGTAACATCCTATACGTTAAATGATGGTTTAGCATTAGAAGGATTAGTGACATGTTTTATTAACCCAGCCACTACTGGTTATTCATTTTAGTTACAGGGTGGTATAATTGTTATAGTCTAATTAATATAAATGATAGTACCGCAATAGTTAATGTTTTATCCAAAGACATATAGGAACTTTACTTCACTTACTATTAACCATTATTTATAATGATAGACATGTTCAGACTGCAAAAAGCTATGGCTAATGACATAGAAAGGGGTTTGAGTCAGTAACACAGCCCATACAGAGGAGAGCAAACCCGCTGATGCTTAATGCCCCTGCCATGGCAGTGTCTACAGGGAACAAGGGGGGTCACTAGCCACTGTAACTTTACCTATTGAAGGTACTACTTTCCTGGTTTCCTGGTTAACACAGGTGCATCCCGCAGTGTTCCTAGAGAACAAGACCTGCCTGACTCATCGTTCCTGCCTGTCACCGATGTCTCTTGTGTTGGTGCTGATGTCCTATCCCGCCTCCAAGCATCCATCACCCTCACTGCAGACGGCCAGGTTCAATTAAATACACCTTTGTCACAAAAAGACACTACAGTTCTTTGTTCCCTTCCCATTTTACTGTGGAGATGATCTACCCACAACAGAACAATGCTCAATTCATCTTCTTTACTATCTAGCAGAACAAGGATGTGAAGCTTCACGTCTCAAGCTGCAATTCTGCCAACCTACTGTTATCTTCCTTGGCCATTGTCTGTCTCAGGGAACCAGACATCTCACTCGTGACCGAGTTAGAGCAGTACTGGACATTCCACCTCCAAGGACCTCAAAGTCACTACACGCCTTCCTAGGCCTCATTTCCTATTGCCGAGCATGGATCCCAGAAGCCTCGCTCCTTATGCAACCTCTTTATGATGCTCTCAAGTCAGACCCATTTTGCTTGTCCACAGAAGCCCTTGATAACTTCTGTTCTCTCAAACGTGCTATTGCTTCTGCTCCTGCTCTTGGCCTACCAGACTATACCAAACCCTTCAAATTGTTTGTTTCTGAAAGACAAGGCCATGCAACAGGAGTGCTCACTCAGGCCCATGGTCCTGGAGGCCGCCAAAGGCCTATTGGATTTTTCTCCTGCCAACTGGATATTGTGGCCAGAGGACGTCCCTCTTGCCTTCGGGCCGTCTTTGCTGCCAGAGAGCTCATTGAAAGAACTGGAGATCTTGTCCTTGGCCACCCCCTGGTTGTCTTGGCCCCTCATGACATTTCTGCCATAGTCAACCAGGTCCAACTTAAGCATGTTACTCCTGCTAGGCATCTTCGCCTTCAATGTCATCTTTTGTTGCCTGACAACATTACCCTCCAAAGATGTCAAGTTCTCAATCCGTCCACTCTTCTGCCACTCCCTGAGGGGGGTGTATACTACGGATTCATCATGGACGAAACTTATGTTTTTCTTCTCACTGGCACCATCAAGAAGGAAATGCATCCCAACCTATCCTTTCATGATGGACAAGCACTCCTTCATGACGGAGCAGGATATGCCTTCTGTACCATGTGGTACAAATCAAACATCACTCCTGAACCCTGCTATGAAGATGAACTCTATCATCTGGTCGAAGTAAAACTCACTGCACAAGACTTCTACTGTGATTCTGAAGGCAACAGTATGGTCTTGATTCATCTACCTCCGGAACTCAAGCATTTGTACCGTCATTGGGACACTGCCATTCCACATGTCCCTGTGACCAAGTTGAAAACAATATCATGGAATGATCTTGGGCCTATGGCAAAAGCATGGGCCACTATGGACGAATCACAGCTACAGGAAAATGGTGTTGTCAAATATCCAACAACTGACCACCTAAAAGCATGGCCACGTCATTTCCTGGAAAATAAGTTCCAAGATTTAACCATAGTGAATGACTACGACCCAGATACACCTCATGACTGTTTTGAACAGATGAAAATGGAAACAACACATCTACCAACTGTACATGAAGACCCATTGGTAGATCCCGATCTCACCCTGTTTGTGGACGGCTCAAGATATGCTGATGAAGAAGGAAGATACCATACAGGATATGCCGTAACCACAACAGATGAAATTGTCAAATCATCATCTTTACCATCAACTATGTCTGCACAAGAAGCTGAATTGCAAGCCCTGACTTCAGCATGCAAGATCTCTGAAGGAAAGCGCGCCAATATCTACACGGATTCAAGATATGCACTGGGCGTGGCTCACGACTTCGGATTAATTTGGAAAACAAGAGGATTTCTTACCACCGCCGGTACACCAATCAAGCACGGTTCCGCAATCAAGGAGCTGATGGACGCCCTCCTACTCCCAGAAGAAGTGGCTATTTTGAAGATAAAAGCACATGGGAAGTTGGACTCAGATGAAGCAAAGGGCAACCATCTAGCTGATCAGGCTACAAAACAAGCTGCAAAAGAACCACAGGAAGTGGAAAGAAGAGTGTCCGGAAATGAAGAAACTCCCATATTTACTCTGCAGACTCTTCCAACTGACCTGAAAATCCTGCTGGAACAACAGGCTACAGTTGCCCCTGAAGAAATACAGAAGTGGAAACAGAAAGGGGCAGTTCTGAAGGATGGAGTGTACTCCAACAACCTCAATTTCTGCCTCCCTAAGAATTTGTACCCAGCAGTCGTACAATGGGCACACGGACCTGCACATTTATCAAAGGATCTAATGAATGCTCTTGTACAAAAATACTACCTCACTGTCCCCATATGAGATTCTATTTGGGACTGCACCTAGGCTAGGTTGCTATTTTCCCCAACAACTACAACTTCAAACTGATGTTTTTGTAGATTATGTAACTGAACTCGCAAATGCTTTGAACAAAATCCATGCCCAAGTTTTCTCTTCAATTCCAGATCCTGATTCTGACACAGGCAACCACAGTCTGCTCCCCGGTGACTGGGTTCTGGTCAAGAAATTTGTGCGAAAACACACCCTGGAACCAAGATTTGACGGACCGTTCCAAGTTCTCCTGATCTCCCCTACCTCTGTCAAATTGGCCGGAAGGCCTAACTGGATCCACGCTTCCCACTGCAAGAAGACACCTGCCCCAGAGGAAGCTAACTCTATGCAACCATGTGCCTCTGGTACATTATCTCCTTAGTTGGCCTCCTTAAAGCCCAGCAGGTGGCCATCACCAAAGATGCTAGTGGGTACACTTTCTGGTATAATTCATCATGTACCCATGTGGCTACATTCACTTTTGATTACTGTGATATTGTAGAATGCCCATTCCCTAAGTCACAGATTCAAGCCATTTATAAAGATATCCCACAAGCAAAAGACCCTTACGTTTGTGTAGTAGATGAACAATGGGGTTATGACTGTAACTACTGGGGGGCTGCGGGATGGAATACTGGGCCTGCCTGGGGTTATAAACCCAAAAGTGCTTTATCTAAGATAGACAATCAGGGTAGATCCCTCCTTCAAAGAATGACTTTAAGAAAGCCTGGAGGAAGTACCCCTATGAAATTAATGTTAAATATTGAACATCCTGGCCCCGAGGATGCAGACCGATATGTAATGGGAATGTATTGGAAGAAAGGTTCCTACAACAAATTAGGTCATTTCTACCTCAGAGATATGTACCACTCTCCAGAGTGGCAAGGGGCTGATCATATGGTCCCAAATCCGCTAAAACCACATATCCAGTCCTTTAAAGATATGATGGCCATCGCTAACCCCACTTTTGAAGATACCATGGCCGCTGAAACTGGATTCAATGACATTAATTTGTGGTTAGAATGGATGAGGTATAATGCCAACAAACATAATAAAACAGCATGTTATGTATGTGGCGGTGCCCGACCCCACCTTGGCACCGTCCCCCTAACTCTCCCTTTAGAGATAGAAGATTGCTTCTTAAGCCTTTTTGCCTACCAATATGACTTTAATAGGTCCCTCTGCATGGCATGGACGGCAGAATACCCTCTCTTAGTTGAAAATGTTAAGCCACCAGATGGAATCACAGTCTATAGAGGTAATTACACTTGTTATGCCATGTATGACGGGATTGGTAAATTCATGGGTAACTTTTCTAAAGGTTATTGCGCCACTTACAGAACTGTTCCTATACGCCTGTTGCAACACCATACCAGGTCATTGGGGGATATTTACTGGTTATGTGGGGATCTACA